TCAGCATAATCAAAAATAAATTATATTAGTAGCCACGCATTGTTTTCTGTTAGATCACATATTATACACGAGAATAAAAGCATGCTAATCTACTTGATGAGATTTGGCCATGCAAATCATTAGTTAGCGTATGATTTATAATCTCATCCTTCAAAAATTTACTAATTTTGCAGCTATTTCTGTTTGCATATTTCGTTTAGCACTTGTAAATATGGGGTTGTGAATTTGTTGGGATTATGTTAACAAATATTAACGGTCTTATTTATAAGACTTTATTTATAAACTATAAATAAGATTTTATAATTAAAATTGGAAGTAGTATTTTTTCTAGTGTCAAAGACACAACTAGTCTGTCTTAAAAGTTTTCGATTATCAAATATGCAAACGTATGTTCGGTTGTATGGTGAACCTACACCTGAAGTCCGTTGCATGTGCACTATCAAATAATAAGTGCATTTTTTATCTTTATTCGTGATCAATACTGAAACTTTGCAGATCTCATTCTGCCTTCAGGTGCCTAGACCCACCACTGTCATAAACTGGACTTGCGCGACTGAGCTTCTGTAGCATCTTCTCTTCAATGTGCTTCCATTTCAACTTTTGATGGGAAAATTGCATATAAATTCCAAACAACACAATTTATTAAGTTAAGATCCCTTAAAGTCTCAAAATGAATAGAAAGTCCCATGAGATCTAAAAGTAATATATTCAAAATAAGAAATTATGCCATGGTCTCTGTCCTCAATTGACAAGCTTATGGGTGTAAATTAACAAATCAGTATGAAGTTATTGAAAAGTCAGGAAATGTTAGTTAACAACTAAATTTATGAGATAATATAACCTCCACATAAAATCAAATTATAATAAAAGAATATTATATAAAGAAATCATATGTCGCCATGTACATTAATATTAGATGAAATGATAGATTTATGTCATGATTTTGTCGTGGACAACCATTTACAAGCTCATTGATATATATTAACAAGTCAATAGGAATCTATTAACAAGTTAGGAAGTATCAATTGGCAACTAAATTTATGAGATAATATAACCTTCACATAAGATGAAATTAGAAAAAAATTCTTATACTCTTTTGTTACAATTTGAATTGATGTGAAGGTTATATTATCCATAAATTTCACTACAAAAAAAAAAGACGATTAGCGACGGAATTTAGCGATGAAAATTTCATCGCTAAAATGTTTTGCGATGGAAATTAACGACAAAATTCCGTCGCAAATGAATTAGCGACGGATTTCATTGCTAAAAACTAATTCATTTGCGACAGAATCTCAACAGATTTTGAGATTCCGTCACAAATTTAGCCATGGAATTTGTGACAGAAATTCCATCCCTGATTTGCAACAGAAAATTCTGTCACAAATATGATATTCCATCGCAAATATCAGGGATAGTGCATTCCAATTTTGAGACAAAAGTAGCGATGGAATTGGTAACGAAAATTCCATCGCAAACTTTGCAACGGAATTTTCATCGCAAATCTGTCAGAAATTTAATTCTTTTTTTGGTTATGCATGAAAGGATTTGCGACAAAAATTCCATCGCAAATTCGTCAGAAATTTATTTATTTTTTAAATTTTTTGGTTATACATGAAAGGATTTGCTACAGAATGTCCATCACAAATCCGTTAGAAATCTTCTTTTTTTTTTGCCAGCATTTTCTATCAATTAGAATTTTTTTTGCCATCTTTTTCTATAAACAATTTACAGGGACAAGAATAAATTTTGGAAATGCTAATCAAATCAATTTTTTTTTTAATGAAAACCAACATGAATTAAAAATAATATGAAGTACAATAAATTGTTTGAAATTTAAAAACATAACAACTGAATAAAAAAGAAATATTAGAAGTTTGTTCTAGAAATATAAATGGACAGAACTAATGTCTCAACAATCATCTCCTGCACTTTCTTGGTCAAATGGCCTGGATCTATATAATAATCCATCAAAAACTTGCTCCGATAATGAGATTGATTATCCTTCATTTTCTTATGAAAAACATGTATCAATTATCGTATTTTTATATATTACATAAATTATTCAAATATTATAAGCAGATTAAAAATTACATAAATTTTGCTAGCAAAAAAAAATTTCATAAATTTTACATTAGCGACAGATTTCTGACGGAATTTAGCCACAAAAATATTTTCCGTCAAAAATTCCGTCACAAAGTTGGAATAAGCTACCCCCACCTCTTCTGCAAATTACCCATGGATTTGTGACGGAATTGCGACAGAAATTCCGTTGTTAATTTTTCTGATGGAATTGAGACGGAATTTAGCAACAGAAATATCTGGTCACAAATTCCATCAGTATTTATCATTTAGTGATGACTGAATTTGAGACAGAATATTTCTGTCACTAAATTTCATCGCAAGTTCGTTAGAAATTAGCGATGGAATTTGTTTCCGTCACTAATCAACTGTTTTTTTTTTTGTAGTGTTTAGTTATCAACTAACACTCTTCGCCTTGTCAATAGCTTCCTATTGAATTGTTAATCCGTATCCATAAGCTTGTTAATGGTTGTTCACAACAAAATTATGATATAAACCCATCATTTCATTTAATATTAGTGTGTACTCTTTGATTACATATGTCTTTAACTTAAATATTGTTATATAATTCCCTTTATAATAATTTGATTTTATGTAGAAGTTATATTATCTCATCAATTTAATTCCCAATTGACACTTATTGATTGGTCAGTAGCTTCCCATGAGCTTGTCAATTGGGACAGAGACAATAATATAATTTTTTTATTTAGAATATATTACTCTTAGGTCCTATGAAGACTTCTATCCATTTTGAGATTTCAAGAAAACTTAAATTAATAAATTGTGTTATTTACGATCTTGTGTGTTATTTTTTTTTTTCCCGTTTTAATGGCATTACCCCTCTGGGAGGTCGCGGGTATCCGCTTGGAACGTTAAATTATTAGAAAAATGACAAAATTCAAAAAATATTAATTCTCCCATCTTATATATATGATCTGTTTTTATTTATAAAACCCATGAACTTCATGCCTATAATTTGTATTGTCATTTTTTATTTTTACTCTTATTAATTATTGGTTACTCTTATTGGATTAATTATCTACACTCTCTCTTACTCACACTCATGAGAATGTTTTTAAAAATTCGGTTGTATTTTTAATTATTTATTATCTTTAATCAATTTTAACAGATTATTTATTTATATAATTAGGCATTTGTATATTATAAAAAAGAGCAGAAGTGGTATATACCATCTATGGTTTTCAAAATAAGATCTAGTTTAAATTAAATTACAAAGTAGATCTTGTATTAAAAACTGGAGGTAGTATTGCAGGCCAAACAAAAAATTGGACGTAGCATTACTTTTTACTTGTATATATTGAATAATGTAAATACTAATTTCGGTGTAAATAATTAAAAAAGAGGATATTTTTAAAAAAATCGACATAATTTTGATAAGTAAATTGAACTATTTTTTTAATCTTCATAAATTAGTTACCTATATTGACAGTACAATTTTTTTATTGTGCATATTTAATGATTTGAATACTAGATTAATGATCTAGATATGACAATTAATAAATCCATACAAATGCTGTTAAAAAATAATAATAAATAAATCCGTACAAATTATCATTATCGATATATATTTATTGCATTACTATACTTGTTGAGAGAATCCATTAGCCAACTAGATATTCAAAAAATTATTAACAATTTCAAAAACGCATTCAATTCTACATCTACCAAGCACATGCTATGGTGGCCAATGGGAGTTAATTTTCATCTATCTCTCATAAATCGAACTACGACACTTGAATAATGTTGGGCCCATAGCATCTTATTTACTTCCATGTTCTAATCAAGCTTAAGGTTACATAGAGTTGATAATGCAAACTGTTTGCTTTCTGGGAAAATACCTTAATCCAAAGTAAACTTCATTCACCTAGCTAGCTTGCTTGCTTAAAAGGGTAACTTAAATTTTACACAAAGTACTGTCCAAGCAATTTTATGATCAAACGCCACCATGAATAATAATACTCCTCCTCTTCTTAATATAGGACCCAATTTTTGAGTTGGTTTTGGTCCTAAATATAAGACTCATTTCTTGTATTTATCAATTTTCTCTAAATTACCCCATGGATACTCTCTCAACCATAATCAAGTAAAATAGGGAGAGGGGGTATTAAGAAAGATGATTATGGTGTTTTAGGAAAAATGTGTTATTTTTCTTATAATTAACTAACTTATCTAATTTTCTTAATCTAATCAAATTAGTTAAATGGGTCTTATATTAAGGACCGGGAGAGTAACATTTATAAAGTGCACACGTTCATAGGGTAGGCGTGAGGAATATATGAATAGGAAACGCATTAATTCATGAGAGGCACGATATATATATATATATATATATATATATGCAAGTTTGGTGTATTCGAAAGGTACTAAGCAATTTGAGCTGCAAATGGCAGCTTGTGTTGTCGCCCTCGATCGACTTTTACACTTTTGGGTGTCGGAGTTTTTCTCTTTTGTGCTGTCACAAATGCTGTAAAAAGATTTTACACAAATAGATTGGAGAATAACAGTGTGGTTGCGTTGAATTAATTCATGTGGTGGTGGAAAGGTAGTGGTTGAAGAAATGTCGTTAAAGAGAAGGTAAATCAGATACCTTCGGCTATAAAATCCTGTACATATTTCTGCAGAATGTATTAACGACGACAAACTAACGTTCAGTGAGTTTGTATTAAAAACGGTATGAGCTGCAAGGACCACAAGATTGGCTTTGTTGTTGTTGATTTATATTCTTGTTTGTGTGGACAATGCGGTTGCTAGGAAAGTTGTAGCAATTGTAAAATATGACAACAAGAAGATTTTAGGTTTTGGGAAGGGTGGTGGATTTGGTGGGACAGCTGGAGGAGGGTTTGGGGGTGGAGGCGGGGCTGGATTTGGAGGGGGCCATGGTTTTGGAGGGGTGTTGGAGGTAGATTTGGAAGGGTGGAGGACTAGGAGGTGGTGCTGGCAGTGGCATAGGTAAAGGTGGTGGATTAGGTGGTGGCTTTGGAAACAGCGGAGGATTAGGAGGTGGTGGTGGTGGAGGATTAGAAGAAGGAGCTGGCAATGGCATTGATAAAGGTGGTGGATTGGGAGGAGTCGGTAGTGGTTATGGAAAGGGTGGGGGACTAGGAGGAGGAGCTGGTGGTGGTTTTTTAAAGAGTGGACGGCCAAGAGGTGCGGCGGCGGCGGCCCCGGCATAGGTAAGTAAGTGTGGCAGACTGGGTGGAGGAGATGGTGGTGGTAGAGGAGTAGGAGTAGGGGATGGAGGTGGCATTGGTACAAGGGGTGGATTAGGAGCAGGAGTTATTGGTGATTATGGAAAGGGTGGGAGGACTAGGAGTAGGTGGTGGCTATGGAAATGCAGGAGGAGCAGGAGGTGGTGCTGGTGGTGCCATTGGTAAAGGTGGTGGAGTAGGTGCAGGAGGTAGTGGTGGCATCGGCAAAAGAGGTGGATTAGGAGGAGAAGCTAGCGGTGGCTTTAGAAAGGACGGTGGATTAGGAGGTGGTACTAGCATTGGCGGTGGTATGGGTAAAGGTGGTGCAATGGGTAAGAATGGCGGACTTGGTGGAGCGGGGGTAATGGAAAAGGTGGCAGACTTGGAACAGGAATTGGAAAAGGTGGCTTTAGAAAGGACGGTGGTGGGCTTGGTGGAGGAGTTGGTGGCGAGCTAGGCAGAGGAGTAGGAGGTGGCATTGGAAAAAGTGGTGGAAGTGAAGGAGCAGGGGTTGGCATTGCAAAAGGAGGTGAAGGTGGATTTGGTGGTGGCGCATGTGGTGGCTTTGGAAAAGGAGGAGGTGGAGGTCTCGAGGGTGGTTTTGGAGGTGGTTCAGGTGCTGGAATTAGAGGAGGATCACGAGGTGCTTTTGGTGGTGGGTTTGGTAGTGGAGGCGGAGGCGGAGGCCGGGTTGGTAGATTTGGTGGACGCGATGGATTTGGAGGTGGTGGTGGTTTCGAGAGTAGTGGCGGTGGTGGAGAAATTGGAGGCCACTAGGCTTCACTATGCATGAAATTACTCTGATTATGCACATATCTAGGATACATGTACTCATTTACTCCTCCGGTCCTAATTATAAGACCCAATTGACTTATTTGAGAAGATTAAGGAAGTAAGTTAAGTTAGTTATTTATAATAAATAAATATTGTTATTCCTAAAATATCCTTGCCAATTAAGTATATTGGCTAAAACTATCATTATTAGAAGGATTATCTTGGAAAAAAATGCATAAATATAAGAGAGAAAATGGATTGGGTCTTATAATTAGGACCAAATAAAAAGTCAAATTGGGTCTTATAATAAGGACCGGAGGAGTAATTATTTTTGGAAGATTGTATTTGCTTGAAGTATATATTAATGATGTAGAAGTATAAAAGATGTAATATGTGGCTCCCAATACTCAAGTGCGTACGTACACGCACACGCACAAAACCAAAGGCCAGGGAGCGAGGGGAAGAGAGAGGGGGGGGGAGGGGGGCTGTTAATTATTAGAGGGTGACTGTGGGTGTGATCGATTAATCAGCATTGTTTATCGGAGATGACATGCAATAGTCAATTTTTGCTTCATATATGAACGCTTAATTGGTACTTCAATGAGCTGCTAAAGAAGCATGTCATATATGATAGAAGAATGTGTGATTATACATTAAACAACAATAAAAGTTTATTGAAATAAATTATAATAATGGTGATTCTTTAAATAACTACATCTTCCTTATTTTAATTTATATATATATATAACATATCAATTGAAAATATATATCATGCATATATTAAAATAGTTTTGATATAATTGGATTATTTAAGTGGGTTACTTCAATAGAATTAGACAAATTAATTCGGTCCTATTAAAAATATTTCTAAATAAAGTCTCAACCTAACCTCTCAAATTGGTTAGTTAAACGAGTCACTACGTGTTCTACTTTTTCTAATTGCAGACAAAAATTACTATACTATACCGAATAATTAAAAAATCCAAAAAAAGAAGCCAATTTTTTAAAAAAATAAAGTTTATACATTGGAAAAATTAAAAAAACTAAATTGAGAAATCTGTTCGTAGAACTCGACGCCTATATCAAGCTTTCCGCAATTAACTAAGAAAATTCATCTTTTATTGTGTTACTTGCAACCACCCCACTTCCAAATTCCAAACTAGCTATAAACAAAAACACATCACTAGTAACCATAAGCCATTAAGCCACAATAAATATACCAAGCACAAGCAAGAGCCCAAACAAAGAAGGAAGAAGCCCAAAAGATAAATCCCAAACCCAGAATCTAACCCCAAGGCATTCAATAACAAATAAAAACTTCAACGACCTGTAACTATGAACCAGTTTAAAATGACTTATAAATATCCTTTTAATCATGATTTACAGAATAAAAGATAAATATATGACAATTTTTATCTCAACGTAAGCAAAATGCGCTTACAAGTGATTTCTCAATTTTCCATCTCATTCAAGCAACACTATTTTCTACTTGTACGCCTTCACTTGGCAGCCAGACAACGATTAGCATTTTTGGCTCTGAAAGGGACAATGTAATTGATCAAACAGTACCGCCATATTTTCCACAAATGAGATTATCCACGAAATCAAACTGCATGTCATGTATATATATAGGGCCTGCTTTTCACAGCAAATACTTGCTATAACACCAACCTACATATTTCTACACACAAACCCTCCATACAAACTTATTGCGTTGAAAAAAGATTTCTTCAGCTTACTCCTAATAACTCCTCTATCCTCAACATCACTTGGTAAGAAATACTTACCCGTATTCATAATTTCTCTTACCTTAATATTACTGTTATCTCTAGATCTTGTTTTCGTACTTTTAATTCTACCTGGATAGGAATGTTAAGTATTTATAACTTATAAGTACTTTTATCATGAATATCACTTTGTCTTTCGTCCAAACCAAAAAAAAAAATAAAGAAGCATATTTCTTGAGTTATTTGCTTTCCAAAATTGAAGAGAAAAATACTTGGAAATTAAACTTTAAAAAGTCCACAAACGGTGCTTTCAAAAAAATTTCAAGGGAGTGAGAATCTGACAACAAACAAACAGGTACACTTTGTGCAAAGCGGATGAGGACAAAAGTCGTGAGGTTACAAAACCCAACTTAGTTTTCAGCCTGTCCAAAATACCTGCCTGAAATTGCCGCTAGTATATTCAGCATCACGACTTCATCATCGAGTTCGGTCTTCATAGCTCGTAAGTTAGCACACTTCCGTAGCAGGCTCCTTAAAGCAGCACAAGAGTCAGCATCCAGTGGAGCATCAACTGTTGCACAGAGAGCAAACAGCCACATGCAATCATTTCTTGTGATCGCGTCTATCGGCTCCAGCGAGCGAATCCGTTTATGCAACATTGACACTCGGGCTACAGAGTCCATTCTTAAAATTGTAGACAGCAAAGGACAGCTGCTGGAAGTATCCTTCTCTTCTGTAGTCAAGGTAGTTTGATCAGTGGTCTCCCTGATGCTCTCATGGCTATGATGCTGGGGTTCCTCGATCATTACAACACTACTAGTGCCAGACTCGTTCACAGTTAATTCTAGGGAATTCACAGCTTGCACCCTTGAAACATCAAGCTGCGAGAGTTTCTGGCATCACGAGTTCGCAAACAATTAAATAAGGTTTGTTATTTCATCATCCGAAACATTATAGCTCAATCAACTAGCAATAACATCATGTTGAATTCTTTGTTTGAAGAAAATCAAATTCCCAGTAACAAAAGTATCAAACATTATAACTTATGGAAGAGGTAAAAAAAGGACAATGTATTCTAGGTAGCATTGTCAATAGAAGTCATGATACGTTGTCTTCTGTTTTATGACAAAAGATGACCATGAGTTAAAACTTCCATTCTGACATAAAACTTCAGAAGACCGTGTGGAGCTATGAATACATATTCAACAAAGAACGAAAAAAGTTCTTCAAGAAGACAATAACATACCGCTCTAAGCTCTGAAAATTCAGTAAGAAATGCATTCTCCCACTGCTTTGATGGCAAGAGATGCTCAGGACATTTGGCCATATCAGGAATCTTGGGCATGTAAGCACTTTGTTCCTTGTCAAGTTTACTTCTATCAAGTTTGGCTATCGTCACTTTAGGGATTTGAGCAGCTTCCCATCTTAAGGAGGAAACATGGATCAGTTTACAAACTACTTTTCTTCCATGCTCTTAACTAGGAAGCTTAGTGATGGTAAATTTTTCTTTTTTTCCCGGTAGAATCTTAGTGATGGTAAATTACTTCAAAAGTAATATCATTGGAGTAAATAGTAACCATGTAGAGCTAAGTGAAACCAGAGTGGCAGCCAGTAGAGTAATATGCATTAATCAAGGGAAATAAAAGCAGTAACACAATAACATGGACCCTAAAACTTTAAGAACGCAGAATTCTCCCTCAAAGAAATATTCCAAGTTTTCCATTTATTCTCTCTCCTTTGGCTAAACTCTTCACAGAAGCATCTCTCTTCCCCTACCAGCCACACATGCAAAGCAGCCAGAGTTTGGTTAGCTGAGTTAATTTATCAGTCTGCCATGCTTCACCTCTAGATCCTTTTCTTTTTCTTTTTGAAGGGTCAAAGTGCATTTTTGTGCCTCAAAAATATCCTCAGGGGTTATGAGCACCCTAAATTGTAGAGCAATGTGGAGCAGTTGATGTTTCAAAACAAGTCTAACCCAATTTTGACTTAAAATTAGCTATTAAAAAGGGAAACATTGCACCGGTCTTGAAATATCATGTTTTTCAGAATACCCCCATTACTCTTCTAAAATTACTTCCAAGGGAAAAACACACTTTAATCCTTTTTTTTCTATCCAATTTGCCTACCTTCTTCCGACATATAACTTAAAATTATTGGATTTAACTTGATTTCCCTCAATTGGTCCATCACTTGATGCCAGAAGTCATAGTTGCTCCAGCTCATCTGATGCTCAAAAACCACAGCTTAACTGCAAACCAATGAGTTGATGGATGCACAATAATAGTTATTAAGAAGTGTTTAATATATAGCTAAGTGTGTGTAGAGTGTGTTCTGACTATAATATCTTAGTTACTTGAGTTATAATATCTCTTGAACTATTGTAATTAATGTTTAAAATGACTAGGATATTAATGAGATTTCAATACTCTGGATGTATTATTCTATAACCAAAGCTCCACGGATAAGCTCCGATGGAGAAATTACAGCAGAAGAACGAAAACAGAAATGCTCACGGCACTCTTCCAGAGTCACACGGACCCTCATAAACTTCCCTCAGTTTCTCCACGCCTCCCCCGTCTAACCCACCCACAAAATATACTCACCCCTTTCCATAACTAACTTGTAAGAATACCCAAAATTACCCTTAACACATAAGAAACACTAGTCATCCGAATTGGGCTTCTTCCTCTGCCTAGCATACTTCAACTTAGGCCCATGCTCATTCTTTCCTTTTTATCCTTATTTTCTTGGATAAATGTTGAAGTTATTAGAGCTCTTTTCAAGCATCTTTTTCTGATTTATTTTCTTGTTGCTCTTTGTTAATTAAGACCTTGTAATGCTTGTCTTTTATTAATATTATTTTCTTTTTTATCAGGAAAAAAGGGGTTAATGTTTTTTTGTCCTTAAAATTTGGGCTTATTTTTATTTTAGTCCTTCAAATTTCAAACCCATGGTTTGAGTCCTTGGAATTTAGTCAATCTTAAAACATTAGTCCCCGTAGATGTAACGGTGTTAAAATCTATTAAATGTCATAAATAATGTTAAAGTAGTGATATGGACTTATCAAACAGCACCTAATATGGATAACAAAAAGGAAAAAAAGAACATGTATTCAAAACGTAACTATTTAGCCCCCCGTTTTATCTTTCTTACTGTTTGTTTCAAGCGTTGTTTGCTACATTGTATTCTATTATCTACACAAGATCCAATTTCATGTCATCTGGTGAGTCCACATCACCAATTTTACAATCATTAATGACACTTTAGCAGATTTTAACACCATTGCACCTTCAAGGACTAATATTTTAAGACATGCTAAATTCTAGAGGCTAAAACTATGGATTTAGAATTTGAGGGACCAAAACCAAAAGAGGATCAAAATTCAGGGACAAAAAATTATATTAATCCAAAAACAATGTTAAAAACCGACTGCAGAGAATGAAAAAAGAGTTGTAAGAGGGGAATGGAGAATTGCATTCTTTTGATTAGGACTCTAATACTTCTACAAGAGTGAGGGCCTCTATTTGTAACCATGAAAAAGGAAATTTACAATCGTAACTTAGAATCTAGCGAACTGTAAGAAATCACCCTACTTGCAATTACAATAACCGAAAGCAATAATGATCTTTGGGGGGGGGGGGGGGGGGGGGAATTAAGCTATCTACTACTTCTACACTCTTCATAGCATATGTCAGTCATACCCAGCTTGCATAAGTTAACAGCAAACTGATTTCTCAGAACAGCTTTGGTCAATACATCAACTGTCTGTTGATAATGAACGACAGACGGAGTCTCAGTAAATAATTGGTTCTGTTAAGATGGAATATCAGTTATATCTTTTCGGTCAACATTCTCATTTTTCAATTGCTAAACAATGTGGCGACAAAGCTTACTTATGTTTGGTCACATGGACAGGTTTTGCTCGCTAACTTTTCACCTTTGTCAGAGATTACTATAGATGCACACGATTCCCCCCCCCCAAAAAAAAAAAAAAAAAAAAAGAGCCAATGTCATCTATTTGGTCACTTTTTATCTTTATTTACAAGTATCAAAAAATAAAAATAGAAAACAGAACACAGCCATAACATGTGTATGAATTCGATATGGTGCAAGCCTTCCCTTTCACCATAATTTTAATTTTTATCCATCATTTTACAGGATACTTTGTAAGTTCTTTACCAGAAAAGTAACCACTGAATGGCAAAGAATAGGATTTTAATGACATTAAAGGTCTACTATACCCCCATCAATGAAAGCCCCAAATAACGATGGAAATGGGCTGTAGTGTATAATTTCAAAGCCTTAAAAAGAGTGACAGGCCCCAATAATTTTTATAATCAATATTTGAAGAGTAGAACAATAAAAGAGATAGAAAAATAACAAGAGCATGAATGCATCACGGAACCAGCAATCAGCAGTTAACAGTCAGAATAATACCTGACACGCCTAAGATATTCCCATCCATCATCTGGTGGACCCAAATCAAAATTTGGTTCTCCATCGACCAAAAAGGCAGGTTTCTGAATGCTATCATAATCACTGTCACTATCTTCATCTTCATAGCACTCAACTTCAGAAACTGTGCCCCTGTTCTCCTCACCCAGATTATTGCTACAGGAAGGGTCCATAGGATTCACATTTTCATTACTGTTTATTTGTGGTAATTCATTATCCATATTTTCAGAACACACTGCACCAGAAAGCAATTTCAAAACCTTTAGCATTAGCATTAGCAATTAAAAAAATCACAAGTGTTTTGAGAATGAATATGCATCTAAATGCAATCTTGATAAAAAAGCAACAGCAACCAGGTAACGATTGTCCTTCTCAGACCAGAACAACGTGGACAAGAAATTGAACTTCTTATTGAACACAGTCAACCATAAAACTTTCAATGTACAATGATGAATGAAAACATCCACTCATCCCCATTAGTGTTTGACAAAGCAATGCTAGTATTTTGCGCATGATTTTTCATATACAAGGGCATTATACAAGTAATCATGCACATTGCAACTACAGTCAGTGCCTAAGTAATTGAAAACTAGTCAAATATCATGTTGCAGATTTTATCATTCCAAAGTTCCTTTTGCTCTTTCCTCAATGCACATAGACATTCATATATCTCCATCTTCCATTAGCAGCACCCACACCTGTCCATAACAGAAATTGGAAACATCAAATTGACACACTGACCCACAGGCAAAGAGAAAACAGGTGCTTCAAGGGGAAAAAACAATGACTTATGTTAAAGCTTCGTCAAAATACGATCTTACTATTTTCACAGAAGAAAATAAGTATAAAACTCACCACCCAGCCCCATAATTTTTTTTTCTTTTTTTTCAACAAAAAAAGGAAAAAGAAAGAAAGAAAGAAAGAAAATGAAATTGCGGTCAGAGGGGAGTAACGCTCAGAAGTAATAACTGGATAAATATTACAACCACTCTGACATTGAAAATTAAAAAATGAGCATGAATTCAATCAAGATATAAATATGGGTATTCAAGTCATAGCGCAATGATCCTTGTGAACCACAACAAAAAAGCAAGGGGAGAAGCATGTTGAGAGAATGAGTATGTAAAACAATCGCCTCCAAAATCATGGGATCTTTGTAATTACAAACCAAACTACGGAACATTCAACCAATAAACAGTTAAAGAACTGTAAATTTACTCAGATACATGAACCGCCATGAGAGTGAGTTGCTTAGAACAAGATGTATTTTATCTCTCTCTCTCTTATCAATGTAAAACGGATGAATAACATAAAAGGTGCCGCATAAAAACAATATTGACTAAAAACGATGAAAACAAAAGTAACCATAATATCTTTAATTACTCCCACATTTGACAAGACAAACATATTTAGTAGACTAACAAAAGCCAAGTGGTTAGGTAATTGGCAATGTCTATAACAATAAGAACTTAAAAAACAAGAGTTGTGTACAATGTTTTGACTCTGCTTGCTATATTCACATCTTAACAACAGGCCCTGATAGTAAATGGCTATAGACCTATAGTTCAAATAGGTAAAGTACTTCAACCTTCTGATTGCATGGACCGTGGACATCCAATTTTCAATATACTAACATTCTAACAATGTGTAGATAGTTCAGGCCATTGTCATGTACCAAAAAAAAAAAAAAAAAGAAATCCCTACTGTTTTTACTGGAAAATGAACACAAAACTCACCTCCTAACACAACACCCCCGCCCCCAAAAAAAAAAAAAAACCAAAAAGAAAAGGAAAGGAAGAATGAATGAAAAAATGATATTCCGGTCATAGGTGGGTAAAGATCAGAAATAATAGCTGGCTAATCATTACAAGCACTCTGAAATTGAAAATTAAAAATAATGAGCGTAAATTCAACCAACATACGCATGTACATTCTTTTCATAATGCAATGATCCTTGTGAACTACAACAAAAAAACCAAGGGGAGAACCATGCTGAGAGAATGAAAACATAAAACAACAGCTTTCATAATCATGGGTACTTTGTCGCTACAAACTGAAGTAGCCAAGGAACGAGAACAACCATGAGAGTGAGTGGCTTAGAACAAGATGTATTTTATCTTCTTTTATCAACGTAAGATGGATGAGTTGTAACCAAGAACAATATGTAAAATGGATGAGTAACATAAATGGTTCTGCAAAAAAGCAATAGTGATTACAAAAGCATTAGACAAAAGAAAACAGCATATTTTCAATTCCTTCAACTAAAAGCAGTTGGACAAGACAGACTTTGTAGAGTACCTAAAACCAAGACATTAGGTAATGTCTATTCCAATAAGAACTAACATAACCAGATTTGCGCAATGTTCTGACTTTGCTTCCTACGTTCACATCTTAACAGCAGGCCCTGATCTGAAATTGCCATTCTACGAAATAGGTAAATACTTCAAACTTTTAATTGCAAGTAGTGCAGACATCCCACTTTCAATGTACTAACAATGTTTAGCTTAGTTCATGTCATTGTCGTATGATAAATTATAGACAGACAAGCAAATAAAAAAATTGATGTCCCATTATCTACCTTTATAATACTGCAAGAGGTTGCACAAACCTCTTGCATATTTCAAAATCAAGCATTGTAATGATGGCTGGTTTGCAGAAAACAAGATAAATAAGATAAAGAGGATGTTTGGATTAGCTCTTTAGAAGGTAATTTTATGGTGTCCAAGGTAAGTATGTGAGATCTCAGCTTGAGTGAAAACACTTTTTTCAAGTGCTTTCATGGGTTACAAAACACCCCAGAAGTATGAACAACTATCCATATCTATAAATAGGCCAACAAAAATGTCCATATCAACACATAGATAGCGTTAGAACATTTTCAAGATCATCTATAGATTATATTCCATGTATACTCATTCATGGCAAATACTGCAGTGAGAAAGGAGGTCCTCAGAATAGCAGTAATCTAGATAGAACTTCCTATTGTTAGACAACAATATAGCCATTCTCTATCTGTAGACCAAATAAATATATTACTAATACCAGTCCAATGCTAAAGTACATTGTTAATACTTGAAGGCCACATTATTAGACATTCCCACCATTATCTTTAGAGGTAAGGAAACATGAATTAAAAAGGTTCGTTTAATCAAGAACTATTATTAACTTAAACAAAACAAACCTGATCCAGGATCTGCTTGGCACTATTAGATTTTTTAAATCTTCCCCCACACTGGCAAATAAATCTAAGAAAAAGCTTGCCCTAATTAAATTTTTTAAAAAAAAAAAAAAAGTTTCCTACCTCACCTATGTCAAGTAAATCTAAGGAAAAGCTTGCCTCAATTAAAATGATCAGATTTTTTAAAGCTCTCCCCGCACTGGCAAAGACTTGCATTTCATTGTTGTTTGCATAGACTACTCTTCTTGACTCCAAGAAACGGCATCATTAGTATAACATTTGCAGCCACAAGAGTTATATATATTGCATACACCACAGGTTCATCCGTGTTGAGCAATGCTAGAAATAAGTGATACGTATAGAGTAGCAAAAGCTTATTTACTACAACTTTTAATCCTATCATTCATCATGAAGCAAAGGATTCAATAAGACACTACATGCTATTATACCTAATAAAGAAAAGATGGATCATAACAACGATTAAGCCTTAACTCAATAGTCTTAAACTCCTATTACTAGTCAAAGGCCGTTTTGCGTTTCCTTATATTGTTGGAATTTATAAGACACTTGTTGAGTTATTAACTAACAAACGTCAGTATACTTGGACAGGTTTCACGAACTTCAACATGTTAAATGAATGAAGACCGTCTAAAACACAAAGATTATATATTTGAACCAAATAGTAATACTCACTAGGAATCGCCGGGGCTTCTTTCTTCTTTCGGAGGCATTGCTGGGAATCATGGTTCAAACGTATATTCTTCTGATGCTCACTGCTCACCAAGTTGTCATACTCATTTGCCACAGCAAAGTCAAGCCCACCGTATATTGCTTTCCAAAGCATCCGCTGTGCTGCCATATTTACAAATCTCACAGCCTCAATCTCCTTCCTCGTGTATTTTCTCTTGGCTCCTTCCTTCCTATCTCCAGAAGGACTTCGAGCTTCTTCCGCCCGAGTTTTTCCATCTATCCCCAAAATATTCTTTGCTCCCTTCGCTTTTCTTCTTGATCTTTTACCATTCTTTGCATCTATTTCTTTTATTGCATCCTTTCCAGTACTTTTCCTATTTCCCAAAACATCCGTTTTCCTTCCTATAGCACGAGCAGGAACAGTCTCAATCAACGCTGTATCATCAATAACTTCAATTCCTAAGGAACGTGGAATTATAAAGTCTTCTTGTATGAGTTTACAACCAGGTAACTTCCGAGCGGCAAGGTCGCCTTCCGGCCGCAGAACAGCTTCTAGCTCTTCAAGCAGCAATTTCTTTTTGACTTCCAAGGCATTCTCTGATACCGAATCTCCGTTTACCATAGGAGTGAAACTACGCTCTGAGGCGGCCTTTTCATGGAGCACCCTCCAGTCTTGGGTTCCAAATCGATGCATACGTTGTTCAAAGAAACTACTCTCTTTCATGCCATCACCGTCCACAGCTCCTTTCTGAAGCTCAAGCTTCTCAGAATCACAAGTCTGTCTCGCTCCTTCGACATTTGAGACAATACCCGCATCGCGGTTTTTGGCTAACAGGGCTCCTTCGACCATATTCTGACCTTCTCTTGAAGAACCTCCAAGTTTTCCGTCACACCAGGAAGGACCAGGCCCCAATACACGTGCATCAATCTCATCGTTTGAAGAAGCAAAAGAATTCTCGTCTACTTCGGCAGCGGAGGCACGAACCGCTTCTTGCATCTCTTCAATAGTGCTCTGGAATTCATCGTCTTTCTTGTCAACTGAGACAGTATCCATATCGCACTTTTCTGCCAATAGGACTCCTTCGACCATATTCTGACCTTCTCTTGAAAAATCTTCAACTTTTCCGTCACAACAAGAAGGACTAAACCCCAATACACATGCATCAATCTTGTCGTTTGAAGAAAGAAGCGAATTCTCGTCTACTTCGGCAGCGGAAGCACGAACCGGTTCTTGTGTCTCTTCAATAGTGCTCTGCAATACATCGTCTTGCCGAGCAACTGAATCGATGATTGCAGGTGAATCTTGGTCTTCTTGAGCCGCCATAGAGAGAATCGAAGGTGGGTAATCTTGATGACTGAGCAGTCGTTGAGTAACGATTATTCAGAAGTGCGAACGAATTTGGCAGCGTGAGCTGGGAACTGCGAAGTCACTCTTATAAGCGAAGAAGGGCACCGGCACTACGCGCGAATGCCAGGGTCGGGCATTCACCGCAAAAATCAAGCCCCATCCGCCGTTTTTTTTAAAAAAAAAAAAAGAATTTTGGGCATATTAAGGCCCATATAATTACCAAAAAAGTTGGTAATTATGTCACAGGAAAAGTTAATAAGTTTATATATATATATAGAAGATCAAATGATATTAACAAGAAAAATATAATATTACACGAACATAACTAAAGAAGACTACCAAAAAGTAAAAGTAAAAAAGAAAAAGAAAAAATGAAGAATCAACAGCTGCCACTTCTAAATTAGAAAATAATTTGCAGAAAATAAGGATATCAGGAATGATGATGTCAGTTGCTCTTTTTGCAAAGTTGTCTCAGTCAGTTGCTTGATGGAAGACAAAACCTGAAGAGATTGATTACCCGAAGAGAAGAGTGGAGAATTAACAATCCAACTAAGAGAAGCCCGCAAACATTTATAATTGAAAGAATGATCTCTCCTAAATGTAAAAGTCCATTGAAAGTGTTGAAGAGTTTGGCCATGCAACAAAATCCATGAGTGACATTTTGATAGCATACCAAAAAGTGCCCAATATGGAGGTTCTAAAACCCAAGAAATACTTATCTAGTTAGAGGCCCAACTAATCATCAAAGTATTCAAAGAATTTATAGCTTCAAAATGTTTACATGGAGGAGAACATAGATTATTATTTGGATAATGATATGGATAATTACAAATACAAAGTTTGAAGTGATATGTGATAAGTCACCCCAAAACCACCATGGCATGATTTATTGAGCACAACAAAAGTCCAAGATGGTGTACAAAGCCCATATGGAGTTTAGATTAAAGAATTCACTTAAAATATCATGCGACAAGCATGTGCTTTGGACAATAATCATAAGTGATATCCAAAAATATTCACGCAGCATCTAGAAGGCGTTCTTATACATTAATTATGATTTAATTTTGTTTTTAGGAAGTTTCCTTTTTCATTTACTATTAATAAGGTCTTTTGGTTAATAATTGTTCTAGAAGCTTGTGTTTTTATTCAGTTTCTTATTTTTTAGATAGCAGACTTATTCTTGAAATTTATGTAATTTTTTTTCTCTTTATGTAATAAATGGTGCCTCCCATAGTCAAATTATCATCAATGAGGCATCATCTTAACATTATGTCTTAGGATTATGATTCTAGAGTGTTCTATAGTTGCTTATAATATAAGCTACATTTTTTGTATTTTGAGAGAGATGATATGAATGATTAATAATATATAATTTTATTTTTCTTTGTGTGAGCTTTGTTTGCATCTTCGTATTCTCGTAAGAATACTCAACAGTATCAAGGGATTGATTAATCTTATAGTGTCTTCATGGTTAGGGTTGTAAAAGACAGGCTCTCTTAATGTACTATCTCGATCATCTGTTTGGTTTCTTATGTTTGGAGTTACAAGAGACAGGTTCTTTTCGGATCTCATTGCTATTCTTATACTTGTTTCTAGCCATTCCGTTTACTTCTCCTAATATCACATATTGTAGTTTTGCCTCTATGTTTGACTTTGTGTAAAATGATAGCCTACCGTTAGGATCAATAGCAGGATTAGCTATCCCATCAGGGATAGTTGGATCAACTAGTTAATAAGTTTGTTTTATATCTTATACTTAAAGGTTATTATATTTTCAAATAGACCCATATACTTGATGATAAAATTGTTTGGATGATAAAATTGTTTGGATGATAAAATTTAAAACTAAATTTAAATGTAAAATGACTAAAAACTATGTGAGTTTTATTAAATATAAATACAAATATATATCTATAGATATATATATTAATACGGATATCTAACTCGATCAAATTTGAGCATTGTCGAGTTCAATTTGAGAGGGGTGTGTGTATATATTATATTTACATAATTTAATAACTTACAAGAAAAATATAATTATAAAAATGAAAAGAGTTAACGTATTATTAGAAAAAGTTGTGAATTACTAATAAACACTTAATTTGGTAATTTTTTCCTTCTCATGCCTCGGGTATTTAGAGTAATTTTATCATTTTTTTATTAAAACATATGGGACTCTTTTTGAAAATACTTCTTCTCTTTCTTCTTTTTCTAGTGTCATCTTTTGTTCTCTCCTCTCTCCATCGCACCAAATGGATTTTTTTTATTTTAAATAAGCTCTAAATAGCTTTCAGGGTGGCACCAGTTTTGACCATAAGCTCTTCCAATAAAACACTGACCTAAACAACATAGTAGAGCTTTATCATTCCTGAAGGTGGCTTTTCCCTTCTCAACATGGCTTTTCCCATGTTCATCGCAATTCAAACACACCTTATAATTCTTTCTACTAGTCCCCAAAGTTGAATCAATTTGTAAAATTACCCTTAGGTATTGTTTGGTTGGATGTTTTTTGAAGGGAGGGAAGGGAAATGGAAAGAAGGGAGGAGGATAAGTGTATTTGGTTGAAACGAGAGAAGAGAAGGAGGGGCAAATTTTTTTTGGGAAAATGACATTGAGGTCCCATGGAGAACAAAATACATCAAATAGGTCCCCTGAAATCTGATAATTTTTTTAAAGTCCCAAAGAGACTTAGATGCAATTTTCAGAATCCACTAATTACCGTTTTGCCCTGCCCCTGTCATCAGAAAAAAAAAGACGAGAGAATGAACTTTGAGGATTTCCTGCACAGAAGCTTGAGGGAGAAGACATTGGGAAAGAGAGAAGGAGCCATTTATGATGAAAAATCTTCTCAATTACCATTATTGAACTCCAAAGTGCTTCCATGTGAATCTTCACAAATCTTGAGGTGTGAAACTTTCTTTTCTCTCCTCTCTTACCTTTCTTGACAGATTCTAGATTTGTTTGGGAATGAGAAATCAAAAAATCGTTTTTACCTTTGGTATTTCAAAGCTTTTGTTTTTGGTTTAGGATTCAGAAGTTAATGAATGAAAAGGCTGTGTTTTTTGTTGGTGTGTGTTGTGATTTAAGTTGGGTGTGTAGAATGATAATGGGTGCTCTATTTTTGGGTTGTTTTCCTCTGTTCTGACGTTACTTTAGTGGCAAAGGAAGAAAAAGATGAAGGTTAGTGAGGGTAGAAACCCTTAGCACGAAATGGGATTGTGTTGTCAATCAGGCCGCGATTGTTGTCAATGTGTGCCGCCACACTTGTCAATGTAGCTCCTTAAGTTGTCAATGACAGTTGCGTGCTGGTTGATACAGGTTTAAGTTACTGATGGTATTTCAAAGCTTTTGTTTTTGGTTTAGGATTCAGAAGTTAATGAATGGAAAAGCTGTATTTTTGGTTGGTGTGTGTTGTGATTTAAGTTGGGTGTGTAGAATGATAATGGGTGCTCTGTTTTTGGATTGTTTTTGGGTGGTTTTCCTCTGTTCTGACGTTACTTTAGTGGCAAAGGAAGAAAAAGATGAAGGTTAGTGATGGTAGAAACCCTTAGCACGAAATGGGATTGTGTTGTCAATCAGGCCGCGATTGTTGTCAATGTGTGCTGCTACACTTGTCAATGTAGCTCCTTAAGTTGTCAATGACAGTTGCGTGCTTCTTTATGCAGGTTTAAGTTACTGATGGCAAGTACGTCTGGAAAACATCTATTTTGCTTTGTTCACATAGGGAGAAAGTTTATAAATGATGAAGAAGATGATATGAGATATGTGGGAGGAAGTGTAAGAACAACCAATGTAAAGGAGGGCACAAGTTATGAAGAATTGAAGGAAATTATATCATCAATTGCTGGAAATAAAAAGCAATTCATTTCTTCTGAAATTCTCAGTTGTGTGAAGAGAATTTTTTGTAAATGGATATACACCAATAGTTAGTTTTGTAACTATATGCAACCCTTATGTTTTTTTTGGATGGATTGTGAAATAAGTGTAGTTTTATGTATATGAAGGTACAAATAAAAGTTGGCTATGAATTGACATATTAGATTCTGCTATCATTTCAGTTGTCATTACCTGTACCCTGTATTGTCATTAGACCTGTTATGACTTGTCAATAGAGCACTGTGACTTGTCAATTAATTTGCTGATATAAGTTGTCAACAATATGAATTCAAGTTATTTAACCTGTTTTAGTATCATATGATATTTTCAATTACTTTATCATATTATATTTTGGTTATATTGTCATATATAATCATTATTAATAAAGTGTCAATGGTGACACTATGACTTATCAATGGTCGCACTATGACTTGTCAATAGTGGCGCTATGACTTATCAATAGTGGCACACTGACTTGTCAATGGTAGCACTGTGACTTGTTGTTCGCCGAATAACTTCTTAAAACGGTTGGGTGCTGCGGCGAATATGATTAGGAGACGTAGCGCCTTGCACAGGATGACAGCTACTTGCGACAGATGGGGGAGCTGCGACGGATATGGTCAAACGCCGCGGTGAATTATCAATTGTCAATAGTGGCACACTGACTTGTCAATGGTGGCACTATGACTTGTCAATGGTGGCACACTGACTTGTCAATGGTAGCATTATGACTTGTCAATGGTGACACTATGACTTGTTAATGGTGGCACACTGACTTGTCAATGGTAGCACTGTGACTTGTTGTTTATTGAATAACTTCTTAAAAGGGTTGGGTGCTATGGCGGATATAGTCAAGAGCCGCAGCACCTTACACAGAATGACAGCTCCTTGGAACAGATGGGGGAGTCGCGGCAGATATGGTTAGACGCCGCGGCGAATTATCAGTTATCAATGGTGGCACACTGACTTGTCAATGATGGCATTATGACTTGTCAATAGTGGCACTGTGACTTGTCAATGAAGCACTGTGACTTGTTAATGAAGGCACTGTCCCTTATCAATTGAATATAAATTTGAGTAACACCTTCTTCTTAATAATTATATTTTAATGCAAATATTACTTAACATTATAAATAAATGACACGTTCAGTTGTAAAATTTTGAATATCAATTGTTAATATTCACACATTTATTTGTTATGAAATTGTTAATATCACTTGTGAC